CATAGGTCATGCTAGCAGAGCATGCAGTTGCTTAAGCAGGTTGATTTTCAAGGAATCTATATTTTCTTACAGAACATTCTTTTGAGCATGTATTTCTAATTTTGTACTCTTGATCCCCTTTATGGGTGTCAACTGTTTTCAGGATTGAAAGCTTTCTGAAGATTGGATTATTTTAGAATTTATTGTCTTGACATCATTATATGTTACAGCCCTCTGTGTTTGCTCATAGATACACAATTATGTTTTTATTAAATATGCTCTTTTTTGGGTCAGGTATTTAGTCTGAGCCTGAAAATGGAGAGGGTATTACTCGATTACGTCTTAATCTGTCTAGAATGCCCTTCTTTCCATCTTTGCATGAACCGACTGCATCTGTCCTTCACGATATATTGTAAGTGCCCTTTCCCCCCATGAAACTCCCTTTGACCTCGTGCTTGGATGTGCATTGAACACAGGCTCAGAAGCTGGTCAGACCTGGTTCTGTTTGCAACTCTGCCGCTTGCTACGTGGGTGACACGGGTGATTCATTTGACTTTTGTCCCTGGGTCTCGGCTTCTCATCTGAAAAGTGGAGTTGTTTTCCTCTTCTCACTCCATCGATCTCTTCTCCCAAAGAGACCATCAGTTTGTTTTTTGCTTTGTATGGAGTGAAGCAAAGGTCTGCTTTAAATGCAGTTTTTAGCTTTAATAACTTCAAACTATAAATGCAGTAAACTTACAAAAATATCATTTGAAATGTTATCTCAATTTCTTTTACACTTAGGTAGTTGATAATTTTGAATAGCACATTTTAAATTTTAAGTTTTTCCCCAGGTCCTCTGAGGTAACAAACTCGGGAGTTTAAACACTCTGCCTGTGAGCCTGTCTCTTCCTGTCTCTATTTCTTTGTCTCCGTATTTATGGTATTTTACCGATTATTACATAATATTTATGTTTCCGTATGACATTTTAATCCACAGTGTTGGAATAAATGAATTGGGGTTTTTCAGAGAGCAGCAAGTCGGGTGTGACACAGCAGGAGAGAATGACATGTTTAAGCCTTAGTAGAAGATTTATTTGGGGTTCAATTCGCATCCCCAGAAAAAGAAGTGGGAGCATGGTCTGAAATTCTTTCATTGCTTCTGAAATCATCTCTTTGCACTAATGAGAAACTGGCTTTCTAGGTTGTGTTAAATTTTGTGAAAGAGGCTCCCATAAAGTCAATCCAAGTTTGAAATCATCCAGCAAGACATTTCTTTTTTGGCCTAAATTCTAAGGACTTCTTTTCTGAGTAGTTGCATTTTATGAAACTCAGGTTATTGCCAGCCAATTGGACACTCTTCAGTTGCTTTGAAAAATGTACTAGGGGGTCATGCTTTCCCTCTCATAGTAGAGTTTTAACGGTGGTGTATGTGTTCCTGAGGCTTGCGTGTTTCCATAGGGGGTGCAACTCCTAATTTCTCTGCCCCATTTCCAGTTTAAAGTTTAAACAGATTTGCTGCTAAGGTCTGCTAAAGGAATGTTTGATATGCATTTGAGCTGGTGGAGTGAAATAAATTTCAGACTCGTTCCTTTGCAGATTTATAAGACAGTTGTGTTCATGTTTCTTGCTTCATTTCCCTTACCCGTCACAGAAATAAAATTCTAGGCCAGGCGGCAGCCAAGGCGCTAGATCTGCGTGAGCATGTCAGAAGCATTTTAAGAAGAGCAAAGTATTTAGAGGAAGAATCTGGAAAATCAGCCTTCAGGGATTTAACACATTTTTCTCCTAATTCGGTCTCGTGTTTGTCCCGCTAAAGGAGAAAGGTCATTAATGGGTAAGATTTACTGAGTTGGGAAAGGCTTCCAGAAACTAAGTGTGTTTCTAAAATCCACATCCAAAGAAAACACTTGTTTGGAAATCTGAAAGAATATATTTAGACTGAAAATTATACTCACTCATTTAATGCATATATAAATAATCTAGTTATATGTAAATTAATTAATTGGTTTGATCATGGAGAGCTAAGTGAATTTAAGACTTTTGAAGTTCTGTCTACATTTCTAGGAAGGCAAAATGATTGATCAGAATAGCGTGACTTAGATTTTGAGATGTCCTGCTACCACTTTGCTAGTGTATTTTTACCTCCCTGATACAGAGACCTGGGCCAAGGTCATAATTGTTCTGTGGAAGGCAGTTCTATGCTAGTAAGTGTTCCAAAGTTGTTACATTTTTAATCTCATAATCAAAAAGCCCAAGGCTAATTCCTGTACTTGAACCGAATTCCTATCTGGCAGAAAATAAGAGGGGTGTGAGTGTGTGTGTGTGTGTGTGTGTGTGTTGGTGTGTATGTGTCTGAAAAAAGTGACCTGTGAACTCAAGGCTTATTGGGGTACGAATCATTTTTTTCCTCTTTAACTTTACCAAGAACATTAATATAAAAGAATTTTTATGAATTTTGGAGTGCTTTTGAAATGTTGGGTTTTATTACTTATCTTTTACAAGCCAATACTTTATTTTATATCAGTTATTTGGACTCATATTCAGACTTTGATTTGACCCAAAGATCAAAGACTGTTACAGAAACATTACCTTATTAATTTTTATAAACATCTCTATATGGTGGGAATCTATTTTTTAAAATTTTATTTTATTCTATATGTGATAAAATTGAAAGATCTTATTTATCATTTGATAAGGTGACAGGTACTTCATTCCACTCTATACCTGTAAAGGATGCTATATGGTATTAGATAATTTAATATGTTTTTGAAAATAAGAAGGCTTATTTCAGGTTAAGAAAAAACAAAATGTAGTAATATTTATCCCTTAGAATTTTTCTAATTTTTATGGTCAAATATTCTTAAGTTGTTTGAATGTTATGAAATTAACAGAATTTCGTATTTATGATATATATAGTTGTTCATGGCACTAAAGAATAATAGATATGGCAAAAAATAAATCTTTTTGAGGTAGTGGGACAAATAATTGGATTTTCCAGGTGCTCTGAACACTGATTTTAATATGGTATTCATATTGGTGGAGCTGGTATAGCTCTCTGCAGGTTGATGCGACTGGTTGCCTTATAGTCTGCGTATAATCTGAGCTCTGTCCCTCTTGGGTGTGATGGTCAAGGCTGGGACATTCAGAGTGTGTAAGCAAGTCCTCTAGGTTAATAAATGGCTTAGATGTGGCATTGATCAGATGGCAGAGAGCCTGAAATCAGGGCTGATGCTGACTGCAATTGTCCTTTCTGGAAGGAAGGCCTCCACTCAGCACAATTAACATCAAGAAGTTTCTTAGAGAGCAGTTTTGTTTTTCCTCCAGTTGTCCCTTTGTGCCTCGGAGTCCGTCTCCAATTACCTTTATGGATCTGTAGAAGTGCACTCTTTCCCGAAGCTGCTGCTATATTTATTCCAGGAATGACCTTTTCATTACATACTCTCCTTCCAGAAGAGACTGAGGACCAAAGATACCACAGACGTGGGGAAGTGTCAGGGGAAATTTCTCTTTTTTTAGAAAAAATATTTTTATTGATTTCTAGAGAGAGAAGGGAGAGAGGAGGAGAGAAACACCGAGGCGAGAGTGAAGCATCGATTGGCTGCCTCCTGCAGACCCCTACCAGGGACTGAGCCGGCAACCTGGGCATGTGCCCTGACCGGGAATCGAACCAGCTACCTTTCGGTGCACTGAACCACACTGGCCAGGGATGAACTTCCGATTATGCTGCTAGAGATGAGTGAGGAGGTCTGGGTGGGAGGCAGCCCTTTCAGACTGATGCATGGAGGGCAGAACACACTTGGGCCTCCTCTGTTATTATTATTTTGCTGTTATCACAGGGGGCAGCCGGGTGGCGTGGGCAATAGTGGAACAAGCAGCACATGCGTACCCAGAGCCACAGCTTTCTGCACCATTCCAAGTGCTCCTTAGGCAGCTTTCAGAACTACTTAGAGGTTGTTAACGGGCTGCTTTGTAGGACTTAACCAACAATGACCCTTGCTGGTTGTATTAGAGAATCGGCGAGCAATTGAACAGGATATGACTGGAAGTAACAGAAGGGGTAAGACAGATGTTAATCTGCTTCGATCACACAGATACTATATCAACAGCACTAACAACAACAAGAAACTGAACCCCAGCTCTTTGCCTAGTGTTTCCCCCTTATATTCACTAATCCCCACTGTGCCTGTATGAGCTGGGTGCTATTTATTCCCATTTTACAGATGAGAACTCGGAGGCTAGGAGCCCTTATAATGACTTACCCCAGGCCATAGGCTAGTAGATTGGGATGAGGTCTTTTTTGTTCTGAAGCCCTTTGATCTCTTCCTTATATCACCTGGCCTCCTTAGAGCCCACTCAGTTACTGCCCATGTTCAAGAAGTTCAGGATGCTTTAGTTTTTTTAACGTCAGTTCTCATTGGTTGTGCCTTAAAAAATGAATTTGTAATCATTTAAAAAAAAGGCTGATTTCTCTACTCGTAAAATATATAGGTCATTTTTATGGAACAAGATCATTAAAACCTTGCCATGTCATTCTTACTACAGGAACACTGTGTATGGAACTGACTATAAACCTACGCTGTACTTACACTAAACCTTATACTAGTTTTTGTTCTGGAAGGTATGGGACTCGTATGAAAAGGAGGGAAATTGTGAATTTCTTAGTTTTTAATGGATATCTTTGATTTTTGTTTGGAACATGCTGACATTTTCATCATGCGGAAATTTTACTTAAACAAAATGCAAGTCTGTGTTGCCTATAATAGTGTGAAAGCAAGGTCCTGATTCTGTCCTACGCATGTGGGCTTAATGGCTGGCAGCTCCGTACCGAGGCGGAGGGTGAAGAGCCAGCTCCGAGGGAGAGGCGCCTGAGCCCCCTGTGCTCCAGGCCGCAGCGGGCGGCTCCGTAAGTGAGCTGGGGGCCCCTGTGCCTCGTGAATCCTACTAATAAATAGCACTATTTAAAACTCTCGGCGTAGAGATGATCTTGTTTACTACCGTATCTCATACTTTTCCCTCCCCTCTCCTTTTCCCTCCCACAGATGAACACAATGACGTGCAGAAGAAAACTTTCACCAAATGGATAAATGCTCGCTTTTCAAAGGTAAGCAAGACTTTCAGACACCTCCTGACGATTCGGGTGCTTCACTCTGATGGATGGAATTTGGTTGGAAGTGCAGTGAATTTTCCCCATGAAATGGGATCTAATAAAAATACACAGATACATTTATTCTATCTTTGTTTTCTTTAAAATAGGTTGGAGTGGAAATTCTGGTGTAAATAGTTCAGGGTGCAAACAGTTCTTTATTTTTACCCGGCAGGCTCTGGACATCAATCAAGCCAACAGTTTGCTCCTTTTGACTCTGAGAATCTTGGGTACATTTAGGAAATGAGCACATTGTTGGGAAACTTTTATGTTCACGTAGCTAAAAAGATGCTTTCATTTTGCCTGATTAAGATCAAATTGTTATCATTCAGGCAACTGCTTTACCCTGTGCAGTCAGGTGTGGGAAGTTTTACACTTGTGGTTGTGGCTACTAATGTTTATCTGCCATGTCATTCTTTTCTTGTGAACTGCCTCACTTCTTTCCCTAAAGATGTATGCTTCCCCAGTATTTCTTACCACTTGGGTTATAGTCAAGGTTTTGGTAGATTATTTTTGTTAGGGGCAGAGTGAGCAGAAGAGAGGGCTTGGCAATGCTAATTTTAAACTTGTCCCAATGGAGTTATCCACTGGTTATTGAACTGGTTCCCTCCTGGTGTTTCTAGGTAATCCAGAGGCTACTGGAATTTTCTACTCTGAGTCTGAGATGGGAGGAAAATTTTCTGGTTAATGGATTGTAGGATGACTCTATAGCAAGATGAAAAATAAACATTTCTCAGAGAAACACCATTATGGTATTTGAAGTAGTATGAAAGCTGTTTTAATTGAGTTATTTTTCAAAATTTTCTACTTGGGGAGGTTGCAAAGGTTAGGAAAGTAAACATTGGTATTACTTTGAAGCAAAATGAGACTGTTTTAAGATTACTTTGAGGAGCAGTACAGTATTAAAAATTGCTCCACATCCCAATATGTACAGTTGATTATTTGCTTGCAATGTGTATTTAGGTTTTGCCAGTTTTTGTGGAGGGATATTTTATCTTGCCTCTGAGAATGTAAGGAATGTGAACACTGTCTGACATTGACAGAGGTCAAGAATATAGAAGCCCTTCCGTAATTGGTGGTTTTCTGGGTAGGATTATTGCAAAGCGGACACAGGTACTTTTTTGGTGAATTTCAATTCGTTTTGTTGTAGAGGCACAGGTAACATATGAGTGCTTTCGATTTCCAGTGGTACCAGAGTATTTTATGAACTTGATATTTAAAATTATACGTTTATATTATATATATTATTTTGTAATATTAAATCAGGGCTTTAAGTCCCCTGTAAATTATTTGCCCAAGGAGGCTTGTAATTATTTCCAAGACAATGAAAAGACCAGGTAATGTAAATACTTTTAGAAAAAGTTGTAGTTATGTAAACTGACACAGAAGCTAAAGGCTTGTTTTTATTTGGAGAAACAGTATTGAAAGTAGAGATGACCCTGGAAACATTTTCTTTTAGATTACTTCTAGTAAGAAATCAGAGTCAAAAAGGAAATTTACATGCATCTAGAAGACATTTATGAAAGAAATTATGAATATTTGGATATAATGAGGTAGAGGACTATGCTAAACTTCATATATATACATATGTATATATATTTTTTCCTCTGGCTGTCTTAAGTCCATAAGTCAGACTGCTTCCAGACTAGTGATCGGGAAGGGACAGACTGGGAGATTTCCATAGGCTCCTTGCAGGGCTTACCTCCTGCGAAGCTGGTTTAAGGTTGTATTTGAGCAGGGTGTCACTAGGTGATTGACAGGCTAGCACAAGAAAAAAAATCCTGTGGAAGGGATGAACTGTATATCATTCTATCTTATCCATGTCCTCTGGTATATCATGGTGGACTTTAAAGTAGAATCAGTGATTGCATCTGCTGCTTACCTGTGGTGTGGGCCTCTCTGGAGAAAGGGCCCCATGTGGTGAGAAATCCAGCAGACCCTGATGGCATCTTCTGCCATTTAGGAATTTGCTTTAAACTCCTTCCCCAGGCATTTCAAACTTTGTGGCTCCCTCCCTAGCCAGAGTCTTAAACACCAAGTCTTGTTGATTCCAGTATCATATATATTCAACATTGTCCCTTTCTCTCCATCTTTACCGACACCTTCTTTTGCCAAGTCACCATTATTTGTGTTAGGAATAATTTGTGAAAGACTTTAAGACGGGCAGAAAAGATTAGTGGGAGCCCTGCCAGCTCATCTATCTGGGTTATCTGCCTTCCATTATCTTTGAGCTACTCTACAACTCTGTGAGTTATAGACAACAGATAATCATGCGAATGATTCTTATTCATAAAAATGTAAAGTAGCTTGGAATGCAATGGATTATTGCCCCTTGGATAGGCCTGTTTTTCCATCTATTATAAATTTACTTCAGCTCTCCTTTAGGTAAATATACGGCTTTTTGAATTCTCCTCTGCACCAGTTTTAATGCCTTACTGGTTCCCTCATTAATTAATGAGTCGAAGTCTTTGACACGTTAGTATTACATTTGTATGAGATCCACTACTTTGCCTTAAAAAAAAAATTATCCCTGAACACACGGACCACTGTAATAATTTGCCAGCTGGTTCTTCCTTTCCACCTTCTCCTTACCCATCCCCTCCTCCCACTTTCTACAGAGTAGCTGGGGTGAGCTTAAAGTGTAAGCCTAGATACCTCCTTCTTTTCAGTAAAATCTTTCAGTGGCTGTCCATTGTTAGTACCTGGCTTTGAGGTGCTAAATAGTTACCCCTTCCGCCTCCAATTTACTCCTAACTTAATTTCACTTTACTCTTGCCCCCTGCTTATGCTCTGGCCACATAGTCTGCGCCCCCCACCCCGTGAATCTTCCCACGGCGTGTACATAAGCGCCTCTCTCCATCATTTCCTGGCCAACCGCTACCCATCCTTGCCTGAGCTTAAACGTCGCTTAGTCAGGACACCTTTCCTGAGCTCCTAGAGTAGGGTAGGTATGCTCCAAACTCTTAAAGTTATACCCCTTGAAGCACTCGTCATAACTGTAATTTAAATAATTGTATCTGGAAGTATTTGTCTCTCCTCTCCTAGATGGTGGAATGTTCCATGGATGTAGGGTTGTCTATTTTGTTCAGTGGAACAACTTCAGGCATTTAGCAAGCACCCGGAGGGTATTTATAGACTTAATAAATCAATGAACAATAGTGACTGAAACATACATTTAAATGCCTTCTACTATATATCTCAGTTGGAGGTGGTGATTGGAAAGAGAGGAATGTGGGAATGAGCTAAGCGGCATAACCTGTGTTATTTCGTGGATATAAATACATCAGGGCTTTTGCTGCCTTTACTCTCAAAAACAAACAAATCCAGCTATGTGAAGTTTTCATATTTACCTGGTTTCTTGGAGTTGTGCTGCAAAGTTTATTAAATCACCATTTGGATTTAATACGTATCATTCCCGGGTTTACTGGATAGAATTCTTCAAGTAGGATCCACCTATAAATGAACAGTGAAGAAAATAAGATTTAAAACGAAACCAGCTTAATTCATTCCTTGATAAAGGACTTGGAAAAGAGCTTGAGAATACTGAATAATATGAATCTAAAGTCGTATTTTGATTTTAACTAAATATGTAGAAATATGATCGCTAAGACAGCGTTCACTATAAATATATACTCTTTTTCTGTAAGCCCTTGTTACTGTCTCACAGAATACACCATGCTTTGGATTTCGGGTATCCTGAGAAGTCACACAGTATAGAAAAACTTATGGTTGTTGGATTTTGAAAAGTTATGCAAAGCTCAGAAGAAAATGATTATCTAAAGGGGCAAAGAGTTAGGAAATTAAGCCCTTCTTGCTGGATATGCTGCTCATTTATTTATGACCTCTGGCAAATTATTAGGCAATTTTTTCAAGTCGCTTAGTTTTGTTTCTCTAGCGATGAGACACACTTGATCATAAAACTACTTGCCTCATATTGCTAAGAAATAGAGAGGCATTATTGTGAAACATTATGGAAGCTTATAATTACTTAGGAATGCTAAATTAAAACCCAACCTCGTACCCCCAGCTTGTGGTATCCCTGGTCTGTGCTATATATATATTTTAAGACAGAAATGGAAGAAGAAAGCATTGGCTCAGTCAGCCCACTTTGTTCCATTGTCTGGTGGGTAAGGCGTGAGGGTTTCATTCCTAATTTGAAGAGCCTTTGGGTTGTTAGTGGGCAGGTCCCCTGGGGGACCGGCCTTGTTGCTTCGCTGTTGGGAAATGTGTTCTGACTTTAAGCCTTCATTTTCTTTGGATGACTTTCAGAGCTTCTCATCTGGCAGAGCCGAGATGTAGAAATTGCTGAAGCTCTTTTATCAGTTTAGTGAGGAGATTCTCACAAAAGGTTTAACAATAAAGGTTAGGTAAGACATGCAACACTTAAAAATGCTGAACTTGAGTTTGGGCAGATTTCTGCTTTTCCCCTTTTGAAGATAAAGGTGAGCCACGTTTTCATTTAGTTACTATTCCAAACTTGACATTTAAATTGATAGAACAGAAAAGGGGAAACCTGGAGCATTTTTATAGATTTCAGTGTGAAGTGCTATTCAGATGTGTTCCTTTCGGAGACAGTGGGATATTCTTTCGGAGTCCTATCTTTTTTCCCTTTTATCCTTAGAAGTTGATGGTCACAGAAATAGAAGTGGGGAAATATGTGTAGGGAGGTTTGTAGAGGCCGGTGCAACAAAAGCATCCTGCAGGTGTGTAAGCCTTTTTTTAGTCTCGTTAAGGAGACTGTCGAGGCTTCCTTGTGTGACGATAAATAGCATTTCCAGTAGAGATTTGAGCTGGACGGTTACGCACTCGGTCTACCATTGATTTATTTTCACGAATATGTGTATGGCATATAAAACACTCAGCTAAGTGTTTTAGGGACCATAATCATTCAGATGGTTCCTTAAGAAGTTTCCATTTAAGTCTGTTCACCAATACCTCTCAAAAGTGAACAATAAAAT